TTGTAAACACAACCTAAATGACTACAACTGTACACATAAAACTCAACCTGTCAAGTCACTCTTTCAATCCAATCACCCCTTTCTCTCTCACACACACACAAAAGTGTGTGTATTGTAAAAAGGAAGTGAAAATCCAATTCCACCCATGAAGAAAATGTTTAATGCCCAAGAAACTGTGAACAATGACAATGTTCAAAACAGACTGACATCAATAAAGTAATCCATGCCAGTGCATACAGCAAGTAACAACACCACTCCATTTCGACATGAATTGGAGAAGGAAATTGAACATGGGTGTGTAGGTCTTCATTTCAAGACCATAAAACCATGTTTTCATAAAATTTACACAACTAGATAGGGAGAGACAACTTGAGTCCACTTCGGTATGTAATGTCATGCTTCCAGAAATAAAGTAATGATCTAAAATTAGAGTATTAAATTACTATTTTTTGTGCTAAAATACTGAACAAAATATAAATGCAACAAGCAACAATTTCAATGCTTTTACTGAGTTACAGTTCATATAAGGAAATCAGTCATTTGAAATAAATTCATTAGGCCCTAATCTATGGATTTCACATGACTGAGCTTAGGGCGCAGCCATGGGTGGACCTGGGAGGGCATAGACCCCCCGACTTGGGAGCCAGGCCCAGCCAATCAGAATACATTTTCCCCACAAAATGACTTTATTACAGACAGAAATACTCTTCAGTTTCATCAACTGTCTGGGTGGCTGGTCTCAGATGATCCCGCAGGTGAAGAAGCCGGAGGTGGAGATCCTGGGCTGGCACGGTTAAACGTGGTCTGCGGTTGTGAGGCCAGTTGGACGTACTGCCAAATTCTCTAAAACCACGTTCGATGCAGCTTATGGTAGAGAAATTAACATTATCTGGCAACAGCTCTGGTGGACATTCCTGCAGTCAGCATGCCAATTGCGCGCTCCCTCAAAATGTGAGACTTCTGTGGAATTGTGTTGTGTGACACACTGCACATTTTAGAGTGGCCTTTTATTGTCCCCAGCACAGGGTGCACCTGTGTAATGATCATGCTGTTCAATCAGCTTCTTGATATGCCACACCTGTCAGGTGGATGGATTATTTTGGGAATGGAGAAATGCGCACTAACATGGATGTAAACAAATTTGTGCAGAACATTTGAGAGAATAAGGTTTTTGTGCATATAGAAAATATCTGGGATCTTTTATTTCAGCTCATGAAACCAACGCTTTACATGTTGTATATATTTTTGTTCAGTATACAAGTCATAACCCATAAGCTATTATGCTGGTTTTTTTGTGTCAGGCTTCATCGCTTTTGCCAGCAGGGTGCAGATTTGGATAGGGCACATCCTTCTTGCAGTCACTAAGGTATTGCCTTACCTCCATAACTTGCTACATTTGCACACACTGTATATATATTTTCTGTTGTATTTCTGACTTTATGTTTTTTTTACCCCATATGTAACTCTGTGTTGTTTTTATTGCACTACTTTGCTTTATCTTGGCCAGGTCGCAGTTGTAAATGAGAACCTGTTCTCAACTGGCTTACCTGGTTAAATAAAGGTGAAATAAAATAAAAAAAATAAAACTCATGCTAGAAAGATCCTAATTCTTCTCTACCTAGCCCCATCCCAAAACTTTAAAATCACAGGGAACATCTATTAATAACCAGAGGTATATTCAGCGAGATGAAACATTGCGAATGTTCCTCACTGATTTGTATACGCTGAAGGATTTACATGCAAATTCCCAGCACTCTTATGCCAGCAGGCCAGACCACATACCTGCAGTTCTATATCCTGATAATTCATCATGCACCTTAAATGTTCACCATACTCAAAGTACGGTTTCAAAAGTTTGAAAACGTATTGACCTCTCTCGGAATGTGTTCAGTAACAAATGCCTTCGCCACCAAGCCTGCTTCAAACAAAGGAAATTAGCAACCTCTGAAATATTGACATTTTTAACACTTTCTCTGCAGATACATTAGCAGAACATGAGTAAACAATACTTATTCCGGTGTATTGAAAGCAAAACACAACTTATAGTTCAGATATTATGACACAGCAAGTGATGAGCATTTCCAAATCCCCCTAAAATTAATTATGCAAATATTTTATATTAGATTGATTAACATGGTATAAGTGTGAAATTGCATTACAAAGATGAGATTGACCAGCGGTACTGGTTAAGTTAAATTAGCATGTCGTCATAAGGACCAGCATCACACACACAGTAAGGCAACTGAACATCTCTGCTTGTGACCTTGCTTAAGCCCTTGACAAAATGGCGCTGAACCAAGAGTTCACTCAACAGTTCTTTCTGCTTGTTTTCTTCAAATTGATTCACAAGCGTTGTTCGACTGGTGTTTTGGCAGCTTCCTCCGTGGTCTCCTCCACAGGCGATTCAAGAGAAGTCATTTGAGGGCAGCATCATCCAAACTCAGATAGTAGCCAGTGGAGTGTGTAAAGAGAGACCTCTCTCTTCCCTTCTTTAGTCTTTTTAAATTTGCAGAAGCTATGCAACACAAGTAACTTAAAAGGCAGACCAAATTAACTTTAAGGCAGGTTTTTGTTCCCCCCTTTCCTTTCTACCAAAGTAACATCAACACTAACCACTATGCATGCTCTGCTTATGAACTGTACGCTCAAGAGTTCAAAAACCCTCAACGCTGAAGAGATGCAAAAATGCTAAACAAAAAGAGGTGAAAGTGCCAACTGGGCAGCCATTTAAAGTTGAGGGAGAAATAGGAAACTTTAAGAGGCCAGTTTGTGAGGAGCCAACTGGTCACCAGTGGTGTAAAGTACTTAAGTAGTACTTTAAAGTATTTTTACTTAAGTCGTTTTTTTGGGATTCTGTACTTTACTATTTTTTACTTTTACTTCTCTACATTCCTAAAGAAAATAATGTACATTTAATCCATACATTTCCCTGACACCCAAAAGTACTCGTTACATTTTGACAGGAAAATGGTCCAACTCACACACTTATCAAGAGAACATCCCTGGTCATCCCTACTGCCTCTTATCTGGCAGACTCACTAAACACAAATGCTTAGTTTGTAAATTATGAGTGTGCCCCTAGCTAGCTGTCAATAAAAATAAAACAAATAAATTGTGCTGTCTGGTTTGCTTAATATAATGAATTTGAAATAATTTGTACTTTTAATACTTACAGTGACGGAAAAAAGTATTTGATCCCCTGCTAATTTTGTATGTTTGCCCACTGACAAAGAAATGATCAGTCTATAATTTTAATGGTAGGTTTATTTGAACAGTGAGAGAGAGAATAACAACAACAAAAAATCCAGAAAAACACGTCAAAAATGTTATAAATTGATTTGCATTTTAATGAGGGAAATAAGTATTTGACCCCTCTGCAAAACATGACTTAGTACTTGGTGGCAAAACCCTTGTTGGCAATCACAGAGGTCAGACGTTTCTTGTAGTTGGCCACCAGGTTTGCACACATCTCAGGAGGGATTTTGTTCCACTCCTCTTTGCAGATCTTCTCCAAGTCATTAAGGTTTCGGGGCTGACGTTTGGCAACTCAAAACTTCAGCTCCCTATGGGATTAAGGTCTGGAAACTGGCTAGGCCACTCCAGGACCTTAATGTGCTTCTTCTTGAGCCACTCCTTTGTTGCCTTGGCTGTGTGTTTTGGGTCATTGTCATGCTGGAATACCTATCCACGACCCATTTTCAATGCCCTGGCTGAGGGAACCCAAGATTTGACGGCCCCGTCCATCGTCCCTTTGATGCGGTGAAGTTGTCCTGTCCCCTTAGCAGAAAAACACCCCCGAAGCATAATGTTTCCACCTCCATGTTTGACGGTGGGGATGGTTTTCTTGGGGTCATAGGCAGCATTCCTCCTCCTCCAAACACGGCAGGTTGAGTTGATGCCAAAGAGCTCGATTTTGGTCTCATCTGACCACAACACTTTCACCCAGTTCTCCTCTGAATCATTCAGATGTTCATTGGCAAACTTCAGACGGCCCTGTATATGTGCTTTCTTGAGCAGGGGGACCTTGCGGGCGCTGCAGGATTTCAGTCCTTCACGGCGTAGTGTGTTACCAATTGTTTTTTTGGTGACTATGATCCCAGCTGCCTTGAGATCATTGACAAGATCCTCATGTGTAGTTCTGGGCTGATTCCTCACCGTTCTCATGATCATTGCAACTCCACGAGGTGAGATCTTGCATGGAGCCCCAGGCTGAGGGAGATTGAGCTATTTTGTGTTTCTTTCATTTGCGAATAATCGCACCAACTGTTGTCACCTTCTCACCAAGCTGCTTGGCAATGGTCTTGTAGCCCATTCCAGCCTTGTGTAGGTCTACAATCTTGTCCCTGACATCCTTGGAGAGCTCTTTGGTCTTGGCCATGGTGGAGAGTTTGGAATCTGATTGATTGATTGCTTCTGTGGACAGGTGTCTTTTATACAGGTAACAAGCTGAGATTAGGAGCACTCCCTGTGTGCTCCTAATCTCAGCTCGTTACCTGTATAAAAAGACACCTGGGAGCCAGAAATCTTTCTGATTGAGAGGGGGTCAAATACCTATTTCCCTCATTAAAATGCAAACAATTTATAACATTTTTGACATGCGTTTTTCTGGATTCTTTTGTTGTTATTCTGTCACTCACTGTTCAAATAAACCTACCATTAAAATTATAGACTGATCATTTCTTTGTCAGTGGGCAAACGTACAAAATCAGCAGGGGATCAAATACTTTTTCCCTCACTGTAAGTACATTTGAGCAATTCCATTTACTTTTGATACTTAAGTATATTTAAAAACAAATACTTTTACTCAAGTAGTATTTTACTGGGTGACTTTCACTTTTACTTGAGTCATTTTCTATTAAGGTATCTTTACTTTTACTCAAGTATGACAATTGAGTACTTTTCCCACCACTTCTGGTCACATATCAGCCTAGCCCTGGCTAACACTGAAATGGCTGAGCCCCTTGGTGGAAATGTATCTGTGCTCCCTGCAAGTGGTCTTAGACGCGGAAGCTTTCTCCCTTGCCGTCGATGTGGCGCAGGCGCAGGTAGACGTCGGTGCCGATGCCCTGCATGGACTGGATGGACAGGGAACCGCCCAGGTACTCAGCGTACGCCCGGGAGGTGGGCAGCCCGAAGCCAAACCTGAAGGGCACACAGTTTCTCATACGTTAATAATATGGAGCTTTGTAAACTGACACACATTAACAAATTGATAGATTTATTTTTGCATTGCAACATGCAAGGACTTCCTTCAAGAGAAAGCAAATGTGTATAAATAATTTGGGGCTGCTAAACAGATGTAAACATTAAACCTCAGAGTCATAAGATGTTTGCACTAATGACGTACTTCGTAGGTTTTATCTCCATGACTACTTAATGGCAAAGAACAGTTAAGATAACGTTTTTTACTTCCATCCCCATCCCCCTTCAAGTCTCAATAATCCATTGGATAAAGTAAACCCATGTGAATCAGTGAAATGGAAGTGTGTGCCATTGTTCTGCTTTACGTGGCATCCCATGGCACACTGGCAGTCAATTCAACCCTGCATTATGAGATTAAGAACCGATGCAGTAGCAAGGGGATCAACAGACAGGAGCACACAAAGAGCAGGATTATCACGTGCATCAATTACCTAGTTCACACTCATTATGGCTGAACTGGTGAAAATGTTTTCCAACTGAAATTGTATACAACCCGTCTTACTCACCCGTGCATTGGGCCGGACTGAGGCCCACTGTTGGTCAAGGTGTTGAAGAGATTGTTCATGCGAGGGTCTTGGTTGCTCTCTTCAGCTGTGCTGTAATGGTAGTCTGTCACCTTGTCCAGGATGCTGTGAGGGATGCCGCCACCACGGTCTGAGATCCTGACGAACATGGAGGATACCCCAGGGTTACACAACAAGATCACATGAACATTATACCTGCCACAGTCACATTCACTACCGCCTTGCACACTCTTGCCTGCAAACAAGTTTTTATTGGACAAATTCAGTTTATCCCCGTTTCGGTTCCTTTTGCTTCCATTTAAGGGTGCGTTCGTAAATTCATTCTGGCTATCTCCTCCGATTTCAGAGCACTCGTCTGAGTGTGCCAGAGCCCAGAATAACTGATGCCAACGCGCAACCTGTGTCAGTAAACGTTGGCCAAAAAAAGTTATCAAATTGTTGCCAGCAGCACAGTCACCAATGCTCTAGACATGAAAACAGCTTAACCACCTCTAATAGGTCGAGTAAAATGGTCAGTGAGGTGTTCTCTCATTTTTGTCTGGAAGTAGCTAGCAAGCTAGCCAACTTTTGCCAGTTAGCTTGGGTGCTTGACTGCCGTTGTGAGGTCAGAACGTTCGGATCAAACCTACTCCTCAGCCAGAGCATCCAGTGTTTGTGCTGATCGCTCCGATAGCGAAACGCTCTGAATTTATGAACGGAGAACCTGGCAACGCTCTGAATTTAGGAACGCCCTGAGCGCACTCTGCGCGCACTCGGGCACTCCAGAGTGAATTTATGAACACACCTTAAGAAACGTTTTGTCAACAGAATCGGCGGAATGAATATATCCCTGGTCACACACACAACCACAGTTCACTTTCATAGCAGCCACATAAACAGCTCATTGTATATCATTTATATAATTCCTTCTCGCATCTATACTATATACAGTGAGGGAAAAAAGTATTTGATCCCCTGCTGATTTTGTACGTTTGCCCACTGACAAAGAAATGATCAGTTAATGGTAGGTTTATTTGTACAGTGAGAGACAGAATAACAAAAGAATCCAGAAAAACGCATGTCAAAAATGTTATAAATTGATTTGCATTTTAATGAGGGAAATAAGTATGTGACCCCCTCTCAATCTGAAAGATTTCTGGCTCCCAGGTGTCTTTTATACAGGTAACGAGCTGAGATTAGGAGCACACTCTTAAAGGGAGTGCTCCTAATCTCAGCTTGTTACCTGTATAAAAGACACCTGTCCACAGAAGCAATCAATCAATCAGATTCCAAACTCTCCACCATGGCCAAGACCAAAGAGCTCTCCAAGGATGTCAGGGACAAGATTGTAGACCTACACAAGGCTGGAATGGGCTACAAGACCATCGCCAAGCAGCTTGGTGAGAAGGTGACAACAGTTGGTGCGATTATTCGCAAATGGAAGCAACACAAAATAACTGTCAATCTCCCTCGGCCTGGGGCTCCATGCAAGATCTCACCTCGTGGAGTTGCAATGATCATGAGAATGGTGAGGAATCAGCCCAGAACTACACGGGAGGATCTTGTCAATGATCTCAAGGCAGCTGGGACCATAGTCACCAAGAAAACAATTGGTAACACACTACGCCGTCAAGGACTGAAATCCTGCAGCGCCCACAAGGTCCCCCTGCTCAAGAAAGCACATATACAGGCCCGTCTGAAGTTTGCCAATGAACATCTGAATGATTCAGAGGAGAACTGGGTGAAAGTGTTGTGGTCAGATGAGACCAAAATCGAGCTCTTTGGCATCAACTCGCCGTGTTTGGAGGAGGAGGAATGCTGCCTATGACCCCAAGAACACCATCCCCACCGTCAATCATGGATTTGGAAACATTATGCTTTGGGGGTGTTTTTCTGCTAAGGGGACAGGACAACTTCACCGCATCAAAGGGATGATGGACGGGGCTATGTACCGTAAAATCTTGGGTGAGAACCTCCTTACCTCAGCCAGGGCATTGAAAATGGGTCGTGGATGGGTATTCCAGCATGACAATGACCCAAAACACACGGCCAAGGCAACAAAGGAGTGGCTCAAGAAGAAGCACATTAAGGTCCTGGAGTGGCCTAGCCAGTCTCCAGACCTTAATCCCATAGACAATCTGTGGAGGGAGCTGAAGGTTCGAGTTGCCAAACATCAGCCTCTAAACCTTAATGACTTGGAGAAGATCTGCAAAGAGGAGTGGAACAAAATCCCTCCTGAGATGTGTGCAAACCTGGTGGCCAATTACAAGAAACGTCTGACCTCTGATTGCCAACAAGGGTTTTGCCACCAAGTACTAAGTCATGTTTTGCAGAGGGGTCAAATACTTATTTCCCTCATTAAAATGCAAATCAATTTATAACATTTTTGACATGCGTTTTTCTGGATTTTTGTTGTTGTTATTCTGTCTCTCACTGTTCAAATAAACCTACCATTAAAATTATAGACTGATCATGTCTTTGTCAGTGGGCAAACGTACAAAATCAGCAGGGGATCAAATACTTTTTTTCCTCACTGTATATATATATATACAGAAAAGTATGTGGACACCCCTTCAAATTAGTGGATTCGACTATTTTAGCCACACCCGTTGCTGACAGATGTATCAAATATAGCACACAGCCATGCAATCTCCATAGACAAACATTGGCAGTAGAATGGCCTTACTGAAGAGCTCAGTGACTTTCAACATGGCACCGTCATAGAATCAGTTTGTCAAATTCTGCCCTGCTAGAGCTGCCCTGGTCAACTGTAAGTGCTGTTATTGTGAAGTGGGAACGTCTAGGAGCAACAACGGCTCAGCCGCGAAGTGGTAGGCCACACAAACCCACAGAACGGCACCCCCAAGTGCTGAAGCTAAAATCGTCTGTCCTCGGTTGTAACACTTACTACCGAGTACCAAACTACCTCTGGAAGCAACGTCAGTACAAGGAACTGTTTGTCGGGAGCTTCATGAAATGGGTTTCCATGGCCGAGCAGCCGCACACAAGCCTAAGATCCCCAATTGCAATGCCAAGTGTCGGCTGGAGTGGTGTAAAGCTCGCCACCATTGGACTCTGGAGCAGTGGAAACACGTTCTATGGAGTGATGAATCACGCTTCACCATCTGGCAGTCCCACGGACGAATCTGGGTTTGGCAGATGCCAGGAGAACGCTACCTGCCCCAATGCATAGTGCCAACTGTAAAGTTTGGTGGAGGAGGAATAATGGTCTGGGGCTGTTTTTCATGGTTCGAGCTAGGCCCCTTAGTTCCAGTGAAGGGAAATCTTAAACGCTACAGCATACAATGACATTCTAGACGGTTCTGTGCTTCCAATTTTGTGGCAACAGTTTGGGGAAGGCCCTTTCCTGTTTCAGCACGACAATGCCCCCGTGCCCAAAGCGAGGTCCATACAGAAATAGTTTGCAGAGATCGGTGTGGAAGAACTTGACTAGCCTGCATAGTGCCCTGACCTCAACCCCATCAAACACCTTTGGGATGAATTGGAATGGCGACTGCGAGCCAGGCCTAATCGGCCAACATCAGTGCCAGGCCTAATCGGCCAATATCAGCACCAGGCCTCACTAATGCTCGTGGCGGAATGGAAGCATGTCCCCGCAGCAATGTTCCAACATCTAGTGGAAAGCCTTCCCAGAAGAGTGGAGGCTGTTATAGCAGCAAAGGGGGGGGACCAACTCCATATTAATGCCCACGATTTTTGAATGAGATGTTCGACACAGGGGTCCACATACTTTTGGTCATGTAGTGTATCTACGTGCTCTCCTCCGCTCACCTTTGTCCTTAGCTTGTGGACTTCAGTGCCCAACACATCAGTTGTCTGTGACCAGGCAAAAATACCTTTCCCTCATATCATGACAGCTACACAGACTACATAATTGTCACATCATAGTTAAATCACCATAGCTGGGTCATTCCTACCATGCAGTGTCATTTGAACCTCAATTTTTGAAAATAGTTTTCTATCATGTTTGACTTTCAGAAAAACATATTGGTCAAGCTTAGGCACGTAAAACATTTCTGGGTGCATTTTCCAATTTGTTAGGTGTGTAATCTTAACAGGGTGGACATTTTGAGCCTAAATTAGCCATAGCTCTGTGAGCGAGCAAGATTGAGCTAGCATAATGGTAAACACTTGAACAGGATTTTAACTTCCCTATCAAACATATTTTAACATTTTGAATTCATTTTTTTTGTTTTGTATAAATAATTTAGCCTAACAGGGTGAAAATGTTTGAGTGGGACATACAGACTAACAACATGAAACATTGACAACTAGATAAAACTGAGTGTTTATATTTATTTAGCTTTGCACCATAGTTTTCCCACCAAAGAAATGGACACTTCCTGAATGTGGGGTCATTGTAGGAAGGGGTTGTTTTCTTAAATTGAGAATTACAACAAACTAACAGGGTGGAAAGTGGTATCAGGGACACACAGAAAATAAAACAATAATAAATACAATAATAATGAAAAAAACATTTGTTATGAAAGAAACTAATAACTAGGACTATAAAATAATGAAGCAAGACGTACAAATTTTTATGGCTTATGTTTCTTGTGGAAGTTGATAAATAACACCTGGGGACATGGCAAAAACGCCTACATCCACTGACAAAAAGTGTTAAAAATGCATAAAATATTTGTGTTTTTAAGGTAAAGGACACCTGACCTTATATTTAAAGCCTTTTGGAATCCACATTTTACACTAAATAAGAACTGATATTTCCTGGGGACAGAAAAGGCACCGCCTAGTAGGATAATAATAATAATAATATGCCATTTAGCAGACGCTTTTATCCAAAGCGACTTACAGTCGTGCGTGCATACATTTTTTTGTGTATGGGTGGTCCCGGGGTTCGAACCCACTACCTTGGCGTTACAAGCGCCGTGCTCTACCAGCTGAGCTACAGAGGACCACAGGACTGACCCAGCTACTAGAACTAACGCTTTAGTAAACGGTGGTCCTCTGTAGCTCAGCTGGTAGAGCACGGCGCTTGTAACGCCAAGGTAATGGGTTCGATCCCCGGGACCACCCATACACAAAAATGTATGCACGCATGACTGTAAGTCGCTTTGGATAAAAGCGTCTGCTAAATGGCATATTATTATTATTATTATTAAACCTGTTACAATCATGCAGTACAGTGTACAGTCAGCAGCAAGCAGTTTAGCAAATACACCGGTGGGCCCCGGTGGCAATAAATTAATAAAACCAAAAGCTTACCTTGACTTGGAAGAGTTCCAGTGTTGGATAGCCATAGCCAGCTAGCTAACATAGCATCCCTCTCTGTTTGAGCCGGGTGTTTGACTAGGCTAAACTAGCTAGCTGCATTCAATGCTAGCTGAGTAAGTGAAAGTGAAAAAAGATATACTAAGAAATATAGCTAGCCCTCTCTCTCTTGCTTCTTAATTTTGGAAGAAATTAATTTGTTAAAAACTGTTCAACTATTGTCTTTCTCTCTGAGTCAACTACTCACCACATTTTATGCACTGCGGTGCTAGCTGTAGCTTATGCTTTCAGTCCTAGACTCATTCTCTGATCCTTTGATTGGGTGGACAACATGTTAGTTCATGCTGCAAGAGCGGTGATAGGTTGGAAGACGTCCTCCGGAAGTTGTCATAATTACTGCGTTGTCTATGGAAGGAGGTGAGAACCACGAGCCTCCTAGGTTTTGTATTGAAGTCAATGTACCCAGAGGAGGACAGAAGCTAGCTGTCCTCCAGCTACACAATGGTACTACCCTACAGAGTGCTGCTGAGGCTACTGTAGACCTTAATTGCAAAACAGTGTTTTAATCAATTATTTGGTGCCATGTGAATTTATTTAGTATAGTTTTAACTAAAAGGGATAACTTTAATGTTTCACAATTTTTATGAAATTCATTGAGGAAGATGGCCCTCTTCCTCCTCTGAGGAGCCTCCACTGATGGCCACTTTAAATTAGGGTTAGGTCACATGAATTAATCTGTCCGCTGAGCGAGAATTTAACTGTTTGACGCTGGTGCCCACTTTATAAAATCATGATATTTTGATAAACTGAATTAAATTGAAATACTTCTTACATAAATACCCTGTCTTAATATGTTGTGAATAACGTGTGTAAATGATTAACCGTTCATGAGAATGTCTCTCTGATATCAGGGGAGCTCCCCAAATCAGTGGGGCCAGAGCGGTTTGACGCTTCTGACAACCACTTTTCGGGCTCTCATGAGTGTCAAGCTTCGATTCTGCAAGCAATCGACTCATCTCCTAAGATTCAGTATTTTTGCAACGGAGGAAACTATTTTCCGTAGTCTACTTCGAGAACAAACTCTCGCATCTTTCACAGCAAAGAAAAAGCAAGCTAGCGATGGAGCGAGAGAAGGTGGAGGGGTACAACCAGGCATGTTGGCCACCAGGCAGACAGTCAGAACCATGCATCGGTAATCAAAAGATCTAGGCTATCGCAATACTGTTTTCCGCAATTTCTTGGCTTGCAATGTCTCGCCTAAGTTCACTAAAATAGGGGCCATCAATGATTAGGCTGAGCTATTCTACACGCAACAGACCAAAGACCAAACACACACAGAAAATAGGAGAGAAAGAGGAACAGGTGAGGGAGAGAGATGATCGGGGCAGGCAAAGAGACAGTCAGAACCGTACGCATAGGCTATATCTTGGCAATCTGTATCTAGCAATGCCTCGTAAATTAACCAAAAGTATATACAGTGGGGAAAAAATGTATTTAGTCAGCCACCAATTGTGCAAGTTCTCCCACTTAAAAAGATGAGGCCTGTAATTTTCATCATAGGTACACGTCAACTAAGACAGACAAAATGAGAAAAAACTATCCAGAAAAATCACATTGTAGGATTTTTAATGAATTTATTTGCAAATTATGGTGGAAAATAAGTATTTGGTCAATAACAAAAGTTTCTCAATACTTTATATACCCACGGGGTGAGATCTTGCGTGGAGCCCCAGATCGAGGGAGATTATCAGTGGTCTTGTATGTCTTCCATTTCCTAATAATTGCTCCCACAGTTGATTTCTTCAAACCAAGCTGCTTACCTATTGCAGATTCAGTCTTCCCAGCCTGGTGCAGGTCTACAATTTTGTTTCTGGTGTCCTTTGACAGCTCTTTGGTCTTGGCCATAGTGGATTTCGGAGTGTGACTGTTTGAGGTTGTGGACAGGTGTCTTTTATACTGATAACAAGTTCAAACAGGTGCCATTAATACAGGTAACAAGTGGAGGACAGAGGAGCCTCTTAAAGAAGAAGTTACAGGTCTGTGAGAGACAGAAATCTTGCTTGTTTGTAGGTGACCAAATACTTATTTTCCACCATAATTTGCAAACAAATTCATAAAAAATCCTACAATGTGATTTTCTGGAATTTTTTTCCTCAATTTGTCTGTCATAGTTGACGTATACCTATGATAAAAATTACAGGCCTCTCTCATCTTTTTAAGTGGGAGAACTTGCACAATTGGTGGCTGACTAAATACTTTTTTCCCCCACTGTATTAGGCCATCAATGAGTATGGCTAAACTATTCTTCATAGTGCCAGAGAATTGAAGTTTCACATCACCAAATGCATCAGTTTAATTAGGCCTAAATGTGCAACACAAATTAATTGCAAAGTCCCTCTTTGCAAAACATTTCCACTGCATTTCTGCCCTTCCACAAAAGAACCAGCTGCCATCATGTTGACGAGGACAAGGCTGGAGATCATTCTGTCATGCTGATTGAGTTAAAATAACAGACTGGAAGCTTTAAAAGGAGGGTGGTGCTTGAAATCATTGTTCTTCCTCTGTTAACCATGGTTACCTGCAAGGAAACACGTGCCGTCATCATTGCGTTGCACAAAAAGGGCTTTACAGGCAAGGATTTGCTGCTAGTAAGATTGCACCTAAATCAACCATTTATCGGATCATCAAGAACTTCAAGGAGAGAGGTTCAATTGTTGTGAAGAAGGCGTCAGGGCGCCCAAGAAAGTCCAGCAAGCGCCAGGACCGTCTCCTAAAGTTGATTCAGCTGCAGGATCGGGGCACCACCAGTGCAGAGCTTGCTCAGGAATGGCAGCAGGCAGGTGTGAGTGCATCTGCATGCACAGTGAGGCGAAGACTTTTGGAGGATGGCCTGGTGTCAAGAAGGGCAGCAAATAAGCAACTTCTCTCCAGGAAAAACAACAGGGACAGACTGATATTCTGCAAAAGGTACAGGGATTGGACTGCTGAGGACTGGGGTAAAGTAATTTTCTCTGATGAATCCCCTTTCCGATTGTTTGGGGCATCCGGAAAACACCTTGTCCGGAGAAGACAAGGTGAGCGCTACCATCAGTCCTGTGTCATGCCAACAGTAAAGCATCCTGAGACCATTCATGTGTGGGGTTGCTTCTCAGCCAAGGGAGTGGGCTCACTCACAATTTGCCCTAAGAACACAGCCATGAATAAAGAATGGTACCAACACATCCTCCGAAAGCAACTTCTCCCAACCATCCAAGAACAGTTTGGTGACGACCAATGCCTTTTCCAGCATGATGGAGCACCTTGCCAAAAGGCAAAAGTGATAACTAAGTGGCTCGGGGAACAAAACATCTGGGGAAACTCCCCAGACCTTAATCCCATTGAGAACTTGTGGTCGATCCTCAAGAGGCAGGTGGACAAACAAAAACCCACAAATTCTGACAAACTCCAAGCATTGATTATGCAAGAATGGCTGCCATCAGTCAGGATGTGGCCCAGAAGTTAATTGACAGCATGCCAGGGCGGATTGCAGAGGTCTTGAAAAAGAAGGGTTAACACTGCAAATATTGACTCTTTGCATAAACTTAATGTAATTGTCAATAAAAGCCTTTGACACTTATGGAATGCTTGTAATTATACTTCAGTATACCATAGTAACATCTGACAAATGTATCTCATAACACTGAAGCAGCGACCTTTGTGAAGACCAATACTTGTGTCATTCTCAAAACTTTTGACCACGACTGTATTACCTCAATTACCTCGACTAACCGGTGCCCCCGCACATTGACTCGGTACCGTTACCCCCTGTATATAGCCTCGCTATTGTTATTTGTACTGCTTTGTTATTTTTACTGCTTTAAATTATTTGTTACTTTTATTTCGTATTAGTCTATATTGTATTTTTTTGTGATTTTATTTGGTATTCTTTCTTAAAACTGCATTCTTGGTTAAGGGCTTGTAAGTAAGCATTTCACTGTAAGGTCTACACCTGTTTTATTCAGCGCATGTGACAAATACAATTTGAATTGTTCTGCAATCTGGGCTGGTAAAACATTTTAGCGTCAGTACATTTGTTCAGTGTCAACATCGATTTACGGTTCTTAAACACTACATGAGAGTAGCAGAAGTCTGCTGACGGTGCGTTCACTGTGGTCGCTTTCACTGTGGTCCTGAACCGCTGTTCCCATGGAAACCACACTGGGCATGATAAGCCTGCAGCTTAGAGGAAACACTGGCCCGAGGCATCAGGTTTCCCATTCAAACAGCTAAGCCCAGAGTCTGGGACTCCTCTAATTATTTAACCTTGTTAAAGGAGTCTTGAGTAGATAGAGGTTAAGGTAATCAGTGTGCCGAAGGTCACCCACTCACCTGATGACAAAGTCCACATCGTTGTTGGCGATGGTGACTACGACATCGGGCACGTTGTAAGGTGTGTCGAGGTGGCTTTCCATGGTGGCCCTGTGGGGACACAGGTAGAGGGGAGGTCAAGGGCAGACAGCGAGGACATTAGACTGTGTAGTCCTTCAACGTAACCCGACACAGAATCTGTCAGAAGGATTGTTTAAAGCAGGGGTGTCAAACTCATTCCACGTAGGGCCTAGTTTCTGCTTTTTTCCTTTCAATTAAGACCTAGACAACCAGGTGAGGGGAGTTCCTTACTAATGAGTGACCTTAATTCATCAATCAAGTACAAGGGTGGAGCCAAAACCCGCACTCAGCCCTCCATGGAATGAGTTTGACTCACTGGTAGATGTCACTTGTGTTATTATGACACACCCTAAAACACTGCCTTCTGGGAAGGAGGAACATGAGTCAGAGTGAATGGTCTGTCTGCTAATTGCGACATCTGAGACGGAGCTCCAAGAACAGAACAGAAACACCTCTATTCCTAATCCTCATTGGACTGAATGGCTGATTTGAATCTTATTGAACACACACACAATTTAGCAACCCTCTCATAAGTGCCAGGGCAACATTTCACCACCAAGAGCAGTAGCACACAGCTAAATACTTTGAAGAAAAGAGGGGAGGTTGTCAAACTAGAGATTTAGTTATGTATAGTCTAAAAATGGCTACCGTGGAGTCTGATTTCCTGTTAGATAAGTCGTCAAAGGGAAAAGGTATGAGGGAAATAAGCTTTTCGTTCTAGGGAAATTGAGGTGAAACTGAACCTAGGATGACTTGGGATCTTACAGGTGATTAACAAGAATGACTCACAGGTGTTGAAGGGGAGGTTTCAGGGGTGTGTGAGTCGTCAGAAAGTTAGTTAAAAGGAGACGTGTTCTGGTACCTCATAGCGTTCTTCAGCAGTTCAGGCAGGATGTAGTCTAGGGGCAGAGGGATGAAGGGGAAGCGGGCCGCCACATGCCCGTTGATACGCACCCGCGGGGAGTTACCGTACTGGTGCTCACACAGACGCCTGCAGAAGACATGAGGGAGCTTGAGGAAACATGCATACACAGGCAAACGTACAATTGTGTACAGATACAGTGCATTCAGAAAGTATTCAGACCCCTTCACTTTTTGTTACGTTACAGCCTTATTCTAAAATTGATTAAATAAAACATTTCTCATCAATCGGCTGGAAAGAGGTAGAGAGAGAGGTAGAGAGAAATGTACAGAGAGAGGTAGAGAAAGGTACAGAGAGAGGTAGAGAGGTACAGAGAGAGAGGTAGCCGTAGAGAAAGAGGTACAGAGAGGTAGAGAGAGAGCGAGAGAGGTAGAGAGAAAGGTAGAGAGAGGTAGAGGTCGAGAGAGAGGTAGAGAGAGGTAGAGAGAGGTACAGAGAGAGGTAGAGGTAGAGCGAGAGAGGTAGAGAGAAAGAGAGAGAGAGGTAGAGAGAGGTTGAGAGAGACCCTTTATGGTTGTGAGGTCTGGGGTCCACTCACCAACCAAGAATTCACAAAATGTGACAAAGACCAAATTGAGAGACTGCATGCAGAATTCTGCAAAAATATCCTCTGTGTACAACGAAAAACACCAAATAATGCATGCAGATCAGAATTAGGCCGATACCCGCTAATTATCAAAATCCAGAAAAGAGCCGTTAAATTCTATAAAACACTTAAAAGGAAGTGATTCCCAAACCTTCCATAACAAAGCCATCACCTACAGAGATATTAACTTGGAGAAGAGTCCCGTAAGTAAGCTGGTCCTGGGGCTCTGTTCACAAACACAAACGGACCCCACAGAGTCCCAGGACAACAACACAATTAGACCCAACCAAATCATGAGAAAACAAAAAGAGAATTACTTGACACATTGGAAAGAATTTACAAAAAAACTGAGCAAACCATTGTTGAATGCTATTTGGCCCTAAACAGAGAGTACACAGTGGCAGAATACCTGACCACTGTGACAGACCCAAACTTAAGGAAAGCGTTGACTATGTACAGGCTCAGTGAGCATAGCCTTGCTATTGAGAAAGGCCGCCGTAGGCAGACCTGGCTCTCAAGAGAAGACTGGTTATGTGCACACTGCCCACAAAATGAGGTGGAAACTGAGCTGCACTTCCTAATCTACCAAATGTATGACCATATTAGAGACACATATTTCCCTCAGATTACAGAGATCCACAAAGAATTCGAAAACAACCCCAATTTTGATAAACTCCCTTATCTACTGAGTGAAATACCACAGTGTGCCACCACAGCAGCAAGATTTGTGACCTGTTGCCACAAGAAAAGGGCAACAACAGTGAAGAACAAACACCACTGTAAATACAACCCATATTTATGTTTATTTATTTTCCCATTTGTACTTTAACTATTTGCACATTGTTACAACACTGTATATAGACAATGACATTTGAAATGTCTATTATTTTGGAACTTGAGTGTAATGTTTACTGTAAATATATTATTGTTTACTATCTACTTCACTTGCTTTGGCAATGTTAACATACGTTTCCCATGCCAATAAAGCACTTAAATTGAATATGTATTTATTTATTTAAGAGACAGACAGAAGGAACTGCACATAGAGGCTTGTGCTTGCCTGTGTGAGTGGACACGCTATATTTGTGTATGTTGCATTGTGCCACACAGAACTGTGGTTATTACTATGAACTTGAGAAGACCCTCATACAGAGCCAGTGGAAAACAGTGGTTACAGCCTAGATCTTAACAATATAACTGCCAGTCTGTCTTTCCCCACTATACAGTATATATTTATCATTGCTTGATTGTGGGGCTTAATATACATTTGTCTGCCTTTAATTTTTTTAACGATTTTTGATCAAAATGTTTTACATTAAATGCACTATGCATTATGTGGGTTGAATGCTGTAACACAGAATAAAGCAATTAATAAAAGTCCCATGATGGTAGTGACTAAAATATTTCAGTTGTTACTTACAGTGGGGAGAACAAGTATTTGATACACTGCCGATTTAGCAGGTTTTCCTACTTACAAAGCATGTAGAGGTCTGTCATTTTTATCATAGGTACACTTCAACTGTGAGAGACGGAATCTAAAACAAAAATCCAGAAAATCACATTGTATGATTTTTAAGTAATTAATTTGCATTTTATTGCATGACATAAGTATTTGATCACCTACCAACCAATAAGAATTCCGTCTCTCACAGGCCTGTTAGTTTTTCTTTAAGAAGCCCTCCTGTTCTCCACTCATTACCTGTATTAACTGCACCTGTTTGAACTCGTTACCTGTATAAAAGATACCTGTCCACACACTCAATCAAACAGACTCCAACCTCTACACAATGGCCAAGACCAGAGAGCTGTGTAAGGACATCAGGGATAAAATTGTAGACCTGCACAAGGCTGGGATGGGCTACAGGACAATAGGCAAGCAGCTTGGTGAGAAGGCAACAACTGTTGGCGCAATTATTAGAAAATGGAAGAAGTTCAAGATGATGGTCAATCACCCTCGGTCTGGGGCTCCATGCAAGATCTCACCTCGTGGGGCATCAATGATCATGAGGAAGATGAGGGATCAGCCCAGAACTACACGGCAGGACCTGGTCAATGACCTGAAGAGAGCTGGGACCACAGTCTCAAAGAAAACCATTAGTAACACACTACGCCGTCATGGATTAAAATCCTGCAGCGCACGCAAGGTCCCCCTGCTCAAGCCAGCGCATGTCCAGGCCCGTCTGAAGTTTGCTAATGACCATCTGGATGATCCAGAGGAGGAATGGGAGAAGGTCATGTGGTCTGATGAGACAAAAATAGAGCTTTTTGGTCTAAACTCCACTCACCGTGTTTGGAGGAAGAAGGATGAGTACAACCCCAAGAACACCATCCCAACCGTGAAGCATGGAGGTGGAAACATCATTCTTTGGGGATGCTTTTCTGCAAAGGGGACAGGACGACTGCACCGTATTGAGGGGAGGATGGATGGGGCCATGTATCGCGAGATCTTGGCCAACAACCTCCTTCCCTCAGTAAGAGCATTGAAGATGGGTCGTGGCTGGGTCTTCCAGCAAGACAACGACCCGAAATACACAGCCAGGGAAACTAAGGAGTGGCTCCGTAAGAAGCATCTCAAGGTCCTGGAGTGGCCTAGCCAGTCTCCAGACCTGAACCCAATAGAAAATCTTTGGAGGGAGCTGAAAGTCCGTATTGCCCAGCGACAGCTCCGAAAACTGAAGGATCTGGAGAAGGTCTGTATGGAGGAGTGGGCCAAAATCCCTGCTGCAGTGTGTGCAAACCTGGTCAAGACCTACAGGAAACGTATGATCTCTGTAATTGCAAACAAAGGTTTCTGTACCAAATATTAAGTTCTGCTTTTCTGATGTATCAAATACTTATGTTATGCAATAAAATGCAAATTCATTACTTAAAAATCATACAATGTGATTTTCTGGATTTTTGTTTTAGATTCCGTCTCTCACAGTTGAAGTGTACCTATGATACAAATTATAGACCTCTACATGCTTTGTAAGTAGGAAAACCTGCAAAATCGGCAGTGTATCAAATACTTGTTCTCCCCACTGTATATATAAAAAAAAAAAAAATTATGACTATTATTTAATTCCAAGTAATCATCTAATCTCTATAGAGCTGCTGCCTATGCGGTCTGACAAAATCACTATTTTAGTAGTTCCTCAAAATAAATAAGGCATACTTTTGTGACGGCTGAATACCAACTATCAAATCCATTAGATCATGCATTTTTCAGGTAGAGATACCTTGAAGCAACTGCTTTTTATCACTCTCGATCGCGCGCGCGCACTCTTCTCTCAGTATCCATGTCTGCGTGTCTGCTCCACACAGACCGGACAAGAAGGCGGGCGCGCAATGGATTATGGTCATTGTAGAGAATTACCAAATTTTTCCGCACTAAACTAAATAGAATATTGGCCTGTTGGAAACTAAAACTACATCGCACAGTTCGGTCTTGATCCGATTTATCTTTTAGAGAAACGGTGATTGGAGCTCACAGAAAAAACTAAAAAACTAAATGGATTTCAAATAATTTAACCGACGTCTGTAAAAAACGAAAAATAACCGAAATGTCAGTTAAATCACTCAGCACTACACCCTATATACACTGAGTGTACAAAACATTAGGAACACCTGCTCTTTCCATGACAGACTGACCAGGTGAAAGCTATGATTCCTTATTGATGCCACTTGTTAAATCCACTTCAAATCAGTGTAGAGGAAGGGGAGGAGACAGGTTAAAACCCTTTAGAACCCATAGCGGCCGTCAACAGCCTTTCTTTAAATTACTATAGCACCCACGAAAGGCCTTGTTTTTCTAACAATATCTGTGTCAATACCGCAAAATGAACTTGCTAACAACCTGTTGTCGTATTCGTGTGGCTGTTATCAACCAGAAACAGGGTATGCTGTCATCACTTTTCAATGTTTACAAAAACGTAATTACACAAAATGACAGCGCCAAAGCAGACATTACTTTTCACTGTGAAAGAGTCTTTATCTATGTTGATTGGTGATACGGATTCACACACATCCTTGCACTTTGAAAAGCGATGATGTCAAGGTGAGTGAAATAAGTAAACAGCAGATATAAACTCAGCAAAACAAAAAACGTCCTCTCACTGTCAACTGCGTTTATTAACAGCAAACTTTGCATGTGTAAATATTTGTATGAACATAACAAGATTCAACAACTGAGACATAAACTGAACAAGTTCCACAGACATGTGACTAACAGAAATGGAATAATGTGTCCCTGAACAAAGGGGGGGGGTCAAAACCAAAAGTAACAGTCAGTATATGGTGTGGCCACCAGCTGCGTTAAGTACTGCAGTGGATCTCCTCATGGACTGCACCAGATTTGGCAGTTCTTGCTGTGAGATGTTACCCCGCTCTTCCACCAAGGCACGTGCAAGTTCCCGGACATTTCTGGGGGGGAATGGCCCTAGCCCTCACCCTCCGATCCAACAGGTCCCAGACGTGCTCAATGGGATTGAGATCCGGGCACGT